ACTGGTTATTATCTATATATTAAATTTAAAGGTTCCGGTCTTCAATTAATATTAGTTTAACATACGCAATAGAAATTATTGCCGTATCCAAAGTGAATGAATTTTTTATTGCCTCTTCTGAATTTTGCTATATTTTCAACATAAAGAACAGTTAATTATGTTTGCTGAGGTTATAGAACAATAATATTTCAATTCCAGACTGATTACTAGTTGGGCCCACCCTAACTACGGATTTAATTAATTATTGTTATTGACTAGTTGACTATTGCACGTTGTTTGTACATAATTCCTAAAAAAATACATACCGTTTCTGTTCCTTTATTGGACGTCATTGAAATCTATTAACCTTATTTTCAATTTCTAGAATATTTAGTGTATTGTTACGGTTTCATATTAATGCGTCAACAATTTTCATTGTTTTTCTCTCGTTGATCGGCATGTTGCACTTTCAACTGTAGACAATATATTTCCATATTCTTCATAAAGTTATTACTTTTCAGCTTATTTAATCAGTAGTGCGAAGTTGGCTATCCTAGAGTATTTAACTATTTTTTGATTTCCGTCCTAATATCAAGTACAGCATTAATTGTTTTCAAACTTAGCGCCTTGACTGTACTTCATTTCTTCGCTATTAATTCGTTTATGCAAGAAATGAAAGTCTAGATGAAATTTGCTATCGATAACTTGCGTGCTTATAAATCTTCTATTACTATTCGTGAATAAGGAAAATACTTTAAATTTTGTAGAACGTTGCGTGTTAATTCTAAGCTAAATTATGTGTTTGTAATCGTAATCAATTAAATGCAGATAGTGAACAAACATAATAAGGCCTTCTGTTTCCGATATCAACACTGTGATTATTAGCATAGCATACAGCAATATTTACTTTTGTGATATTTTGATGACTTTATTGCTTTTATTAACAAATAGGCGATATAAAATTTTTTTATTTATCATTGACTAGCTGGAAGGTACTAATAATCACGTTTACGAGTTATAATTCCAAACTAACGTTGTAATCTATCGTTAATCATCTATGAAATTTACTATAGACTATGAACTAAGATTCAGGAATACATAAATGTTTGCATCTCTCTTTTATCTGAAATTTAAATTCTTTCGTATCAGTTTGACTCAATTTTAAGAAAATGTTAGAAGTTCTTTATATCTAATTTAGAATCCCTGTTGGTTTTACATTGTATTAAAGTCATTTTAATATTGTATTATATACAAAAATATTAGTATTAGTATTATACACAAAAATATTAGCCAGAATTTGATAGTATCTATTCTATGGTTAATAAAGTAATAATAAGAAAGAAAGGTTCTTCCGCGGTGTACGAAACGTTTTGATCATGCTCGCAAAGGATTCATTGTCGGGCATATGGAATTTTAATTACATCAGTTTGTTGGCTTTCTTATAATTTCTTCCATTACAAATTGAACCCAAAGCTCGTCAATTTTCCTATTATTCTACAAAAGCACTAATTAATATCCCGAAATGACTTATTATTTTCTCTATACGTATTTATATATTAGATTGTCTTCAACAAATACCTTTAAAATGTGAAATAATAGTTGTGTACTAAAATTTAGAGACTTTAACAAAAATTATGCCTCGATTTGATGTGCGATTACCTTAATTCGCGGAGTATTATTACTATCTTTGTTTAATATTTTAATAATCATTGTTACAAACCTTCCTGTCACGAAGGTCGTAAATCAGTCAACCATCCTACATTACCTACAGGATATTTACTGTCCTAAATATGTGCGTAAGGCTCTGCTAGGAACCCAATCCTATGGAATGTAAAAGCTTTTTTACGGAGTAATGATGATTAGCATGAATTGATTTTTTCATAAATATCAAAGAATCAGCTTATTTTAGCTTTAACTCGTAAACACACATACTATATGAATATCAACAGAAATTGAAATTAGATATTGATCAGTAAACTGACTTATAATCGAAATATACTTAAGATAAACTGACAAATAACTTCTGACCAGTAATAGATATATCATTTACCTTCTGTCAAAAATCGAAATTTTCAGTAGGATTTTTGTCAACATGATTTCTTGCGATCAAAAATTGAAATATTTATTATCACTTTTAAGTACTTTAGGATATTTGCAAGGTATGTTTACCATTGATTTTTGATGGTTTTATTCGAAAATAATTAATAGCCCTTATACATCATAATATTTAAAGAGTTTCTTGGGCGAAATTTCAAAATTATTAGTCTGTGCATCCTAAGTTTCTACACTCAACATAAACAAAATCTTTTACAGACTAAAATTGAGATAATAATATTTTGCAGAATTAATCTGGTCGATATTAACGAACTGTATATCAGCATAAATCTCCATAAAGCGATCTGTCTAAGAATTATTGCATTGATTCGTATTGCCCTAACTACTAGGGTCATAGTGAGCTATTAATTACATCATCTCAATGATAGAATTTTGCAAATTGAAAATCATTAGACCGAAGACATCTACTTCCTTTTTAGGTTTTCCTTGAATCCGCCTCAGGTTTTTATTCAGTTAGCAAATTGAGTGTAGAAATCGTTTAATAAGATACTAATGAAGCAATTCATTATTTTACCATCAATATTATAGATAAATAGGATAATACGAACGAAGAAATTATTCATTAATACGCAATGTATATAGAACTATCTTGAGTAAATCTTAACATGAGTAGTCTTAGGCATACTCACATCCTCTAAGTTTTTTCTGCTATTGATGCACTTAAATATCATCAAGACTATATGTTATAGAAAGATTATTATGTAAAAAATGGGATAGCAGTTCGATAGAAGTAAGCTAAGTTAGGGAAATAAAGGCTTTCCTTCTAACTAGAACTATTGCCGTTAATATAATTTAAAGACGCTACACATTAATAAACGTAATCATGTTAGAAAGATTTATGATGATAATATATCATCGGAAATAAAAGCAATTTTAGACAGAATAGACCGCCATTAATCTATATGAATGCTAATAAATGTTTTACATCAGTCAATTTATAAATTATTAGGTTAGGTCTTATAAACTTAGGATAGTTTACGATAAAGTTTATTACTTTATGATTTGTATATCTAAACTACGCTAGCTTTGTAAATGTATCAGCAAAACTAATAAAAGTGTATGCAATGTTTTCCATCGAGCAAGTCATAGCTACTTTCATTAGGTGTTATCAAGCGATTAGTTATAAATTATAAACTTATCCAATATCATACCCCCAGACAAGTAGCCGATATCGTATAGTCAGCATAACTAAATATAAGAAGTCAAGTTTATCTGTTTCTCTTTCTAGAATACTTAGAGCTAATACTATATATGCGCGTAGTAAGGAGTTTTTCTATGAATTAAAATGGATGTATTCTTTACATGCCGCACTGTACACATCATTTAGAATTAAATAGTAAGTGATCTATTTCATATTGTCAATGAAATGTGAATCTAGTTACTATTTTGCGTGCAAGCTACTATGAGTGCATTAGCTTAATATAGTGGAGTTAAATCGCAAATGACAATCAACTACCATTTAACTTATTGTTTTTATAATTTTAATACATCTGCTTGCTTTGAACTTGTCAGTGTTACAGCATACTTGCATTATAGCGTCACAATTGATTACGTCTTAAATACTAGATAATACATCCTTGTCAATAAGGGCAAGAGAAGGAAATAAAAGTATAGTTAAAATGAATTCATAAATTTACAATTTGATGCCTGATCGATATGAGCCCAATGTTTAGTATAAAACAGAGAAATTGGTATTGATGACGATCAACGTTTTTCTCAGCACTATATCACGACAATAGATTAGTTCCAATCCTATTGATGGCTATCAATGCTATTGGATATTGAAATAAACAACTTAAATCAATTGTAACTTATCGCAAAAGAGGTTTAAGAATTGACTCAAGTGGTAAACGAATTATACAATCAATTTATAACAATACCTATTCTCCACGTCTGCTTGTTGACGCACTTCTACTTGTATTAACATATACAGCCCCTGATTGCTATTGATAGCTTCAAAGTTGTATTGAGTCAACTATAACGTCAACATCATGCCTATTTTATTTGTAAATAGATAACCCAAGCGATGGTAAACATCCGTCATCTCCACTTTGAAGTAAAATTGCCCTATTTCATTCCGATAGAAATAGGTGCAACCGTCTTAAGACAGATCATTTGAAACAAAACCCTTTCAGACAAACTGACATAACCTTGTTAGACTCTATCTAAAATCAACGAATAAAATCCAATCTTCCTGTTCACTTATACTTGATTTATCAAAAGTATAGATTACATAGATAATTTGTCATAAAGTAAGTTGAATTGCTGTGTCTTGATTATTTAAGGCTTGATCAGAGCTTTACTTGGATTTAAATTTTCATTCAAATCTAAAATAAAGCATTTTTTAATAAATTTATCTTATCCCTTCGTTTTTGAATCAATCAATTGATATCTTTTAGGTCGGACTTGGTTAAAAGCGAACCAGTAGAAATACTAACGCTGAAAAGGTAAATAACGTACGTTTTATCAACAGCGATCTTCGCTAAAGCAACGTACTGTATTGAGTAGCTGTGCGCCAAATCAGAAATATGAGATTGCTTATGTGTTGATTCAGTCTAAATATAAATTTAACTACTATCAATTTGCGTTGATGTTTTCAATTCGAATTTAAAGCTATTTATAAATTTAATCCGATCGGAATAGAAATTCTTATACCACCATCAATTATTGCCAAGATTTGGATGTCAATATTATAAAAGCGTTACTATCATTTTGATGACAAGTTAAAAGCTACTTAAATCATTAATAAGTCTTGCCAAAAAATTACTATAGTCAAGTAGTTTTCAACGTTAAAAAAGTGTTTAATCCTCATTAAGAGATACATACCACTCGATTTGATAATGGACATCTGGTTAGGTGCAAGAGTATGGGAAATTATACTCTTTACCAGTTTATACGCGACTACCATGATCTTGGCTATTTTAGGTAATTTAACGTTACTAATTGTGGTCACGCAAAATACAACCGGAAGATTAAAAAATGTGACCAATATCTTTATCTGCAATTTAGCCATAGCAGACTTCTTTATTGCCTTGTTAGTTATCCCTTATCGTCTATGTGCTTATATCTTTGTGCGCTGGCCATTAGGTGCATTTCTATGTTTCATTATGCCTGCCGCTGAAAAAATCTTGTTCACAGTATCTATATTTCAAATGTTAGCCATGGCTGCTGCTCGCTATGTGGCTATCGTTCATCCACTAAGACAACAATTGCATGAAAGAGGAGCATTTATTGTCATTTTCATTGTATGGTTATTAGCAATTGCGTCGAATGCACCATTATTTATGAAGATGCACGTCGATATGTTCTCACAGGATGCAATTGCAGTGAATCAGTGTCGGCCTAAATGGAATGATTCAGGTCCATTCGCGAGAGGTTATTACATGTCACAAACTCTAACACACGCCATCCCTTTTATCTTAACATTATTAATCTATGCTGCTATTTACTATCATATGAAGCATTATAAGAAAAATGGTAAAGTTTCCAGTAAAGCGTCACTTAAAACTAATCAAAATGTTGTTAATATGTTAGTTACCATGCTACTATTAAGTATTTTGTGTTGGTTGCCTTATTCAAGTATCATAACAATACTTATATTTCGGCCATTAAATGCACCAGAATTGGGTATTATTTTGGGAGTGTGTAAATGGTTTGCATTATTTAATTCATGCCATAATCCGATAGTATGCATTGCCTACAGTAAATCTTTTCGTTTCGGATTTTTTTATTTATTTGGTATTAAAAATGATTTAGTAGTAACTGAATTAGAGCGCCGTTTAAGTAAGCATTCACATAGGCGTCATGACATGTTAAGTTTCAAATTTCGCAATGATAGTGTTAGTTCAATGCGGAGAACGAATACTATGACAAAAAATGGCGATCTTACTCCCAATAATCCTGTGACAAATAGTATTACTACTACAAACAATAACTATTATAACTGTAGCGGTAATAACCATCGTGGAGATGCGCCTAAAATGAAAAAAAGTAATAGTAATTCTAAGCATATAACATCGGTATAAACGTTGCTATCGAATCTGTCTTGCTAGACAGCATATACATGCTATTAAGAGAAAATGTTGTTAAATTCTTCTTCTTGTGTAATACTATGTTTCTAAATTAAGCTGCATTGACATCAGTTAGTAAGTAACGATAAACTTTACGGTAGGAGATAGTATTTCCGTTGAAGTAAAAAATCAAAGACGAAGGAAATGAGATTACTTAAATCTACCGTAATTGGCTATGAATTTAGTGTTTATCGAAGCAATTCAACATGTTATTCCATTGAGTGTATGATGATAGATTAAAAATAAATTACAGCTATTCTTTTTTCTTAAGTTCTAATTTACTGTTCAATTTAGTAGGGATTGAAATGTTAGTCATAGCTAAATTTAAACTGGAATTCATATTGTAAGAATGAATTCAAATACGAGTCCGATGTGGACGCTGATTCAATTTCTTGATTTCATCGATTATAGTTGGTCACAAATTGTGCTTGAATGCCTATTGGCTATGTTAGAGGCTAAAAATATTCATTTTCTTCCATTGCATTTCAATGTTAACAAAATCAATCGTTTGACTTTGTTTGAATTCATGAGGTGACCAATCCTTGCATATCATTTTATTCATGATTCTATCAATAGATTGATTTTATTAAATTATGATAAATTCATCAATTGATTAATTGTTACACCAAGCTTTGTCACCATTATTGGAAAACAACAATTGATTTATCATTCTCAACGGCCGTTTCCTGTGCTATTATTGCCTGGTTTCATATTTTCTCACTTATGTCATATCCAAGATTAAACTAGAATGAACTCAATGGATTCATTTAAGGCAAGCTGAATATAATTCTGATTAACGTGATGTCTTGGATAGCTAACAATTATTTAACTGAACTCGTGCCTCCAATTTGGATTTTAGCATCTACAATGATGGTAATAGATGTCCACGGGGTCAACTTATATTAACACATATGATGAAATTCTACTTGATTATGTATCCATTTGAAAGCTCTCATCGTGCCATCTACATGAATCGCAAATGAGATTTTATGTGAAACTATTTAACCAAGAATAATTCTTGTCATCCCTAGATTAACATTTTAAGTCTTCTCAGAACGACTTTATCTTCATCTGCCATACAAATGTCTTTCTTAATATTGAGAAGTTTACACTTGTGTAAAAATAGAATTATAGATTATACATATTTCTTGTACGCATATTTAATATTCTGTACGTACGCGGAGTAATACAAGAGATACGTATATTTGAATACAACTCTATGTGGAGCAATGTCCATCAAATTTTTCCCCTAAGCCTTATCAAAGTATTAGAGGTCGAAATATAGATTAAAAGGCTTAGTGTTTGGATCTACTTTTGTCTACCTGTGTGCATTTATTTGAGTACAAGGGTGCTATGTAAACTCTTCGCGTAGAAGTATGCGAGAGTGTGTATGCCTGTGTGTGCGTGTGTGCATGTGTGTTAGAGTGTATATATGTTTTTGCATGTGTTTATACATTATCCTAATAAGTTTAAATGCCTAATTTTCTTTAAGTTATTTTCGCGTGTTTTTTACAAATAAATTAACAATGTGAATGCTTTAGGCAATGTAAATGAATGTCGATAAGAGAATTTTAACTTCATGTCAAGCTAGCGAATTATGTTATCACATGTAATGAGCAGTCATTGGACAGACTGGGAGAAAATCTATTGAATTTTGAAATAGCAGCTAAACAATATTTCACACTCTTCAATTTCAATTTTGATATTACTACCATCTTGAAATATCTTTAATGATGGTGTTTGCTTTCTTACGATTTGAAATATTCCTTATACTAATAACGTATATTTGTAATAAACAATATCTCATCATGAAATCATTTTTAGTCAATATCATTGATACTGATATTGTAAGCCGAGCTATTGCTTTATGCTGTAATCATTTTACAAAATGAAATGGCATATTATATTTAAGAATAAGTTGACGCATTTAATGACGGTTAACTTTATGCTTGGTTTAAAAATATTAAAGTAAAAAGTAGATGTTTCAATACTTCTCTACGTATTTCTTTCATTTTTGCCAATTCTTGTAAGTTTAAGTATTATCTAATTTATTGTTATGCCTTCATTTAATAAAATATTCTCTTGGAGTTGAAAAATTGAAGCTTATAACTATAATATTCTGTTAATATAGGTATAACTTCTTTATACTGAAATCCAAAGTAGCATTTTGATATGCTCTTACATTGAAAGCATAAAGATGACAATGATAAGTAATCAGCATATTTTGTCTGGTATCAGAGATGACTGTTTTATTCTTAAATTTTATCGATAATATAACAATACAACAATGTAATAAATTACAGCAGTATTAGAATAGCCATCTACTGAACTTTTACAATCAAATAATTTCCATGAAACACGATACTAAATAATTTGCATCACAATGAAGTTCAATTCTGATCGATTCTGTTATAAAATTAAATTAGTAAATGATTTTCTACAAAATAATGCAGCTACTACATCATAAACTAAGGCTTCAACAATACTTATGCGAACATAATGATGCATTATAAGTATTTACTATGACGAGTAAATTCCTATTGAAATAACTTTACGGAGAATATTTACAATAATTTTATTTTATCATTCAGTCTAATGAATGCTTAATTTTACTACTAGACTATTGTGTTCATTGATTATTTCAGACATAATTGAATCGCTGAAAGTAGCAAAAATCTGTATTCGCCTATGCAAAACGGTTTAGTAATTTTAATATAGAATCAGCAGCTGCTAATACTTAATTGGTATAGAATATGAGCAGTCAAATCTGTGCCAACATTTTTCGGTTCTAGTAGATCATATATGATATTATGCATAACACAAGTTATTTAGCGATAATATAAAACTAATTAAACATTTCCGTACTGACTGCCAATATTTTTCGATTCCATCTTTGATAGCGTTTCGTAAATTTATATTAATGATAATCAATGTCTGCAATGTTGTCAGCATTAAACATACAAGATAAAAAGAAAAAATACTATAGTTAAATTGCAGACTTTTATACAAAATATATTACGATTTTATCCATTGAATGGGCTCGTGTTGTAACTATTTTTTATCAAACTAGCCAATTAATTTAAAGCATTAAAGATTGCCCTTGTGTGATATTGTTTAATGAAATTGACTGCATAAGCACTATAGCAAATTTTTACGACGCTATCAAATGCATTCTTGAGTGCGACTTTATCTATATAAGATAAAAAAGTTTACTTATTTTCAGTTTTACATTGTATGATGATACTACTAATTTCTAGCAGCATACTCATATACAGTATAGGAGCACGATTAGAATTATATACAATAGTACAGTATAAATGTCAACACTAATCTAATTTACTTGAGTTGACGATATGGCTGCATTACTATGTCATAAACCTGCAATTACATTAAAAGTATACATTACATTCATCGCTATTATTTAAATTATTTTGTACTTAAATTTTTCATTGAACTTATTCAATTCGAAAAATACCAGACTTGATTAATAATACTAGACAATAATTCTTAGTTATTATATAGAGCAAAGACGTAATTACATATAAATTAAGACAGTAAGATAAAAAATCATTTACGATTCTATTGAGATAAAACAATTTTCTCCCAGCAAATTAGAATTCAAGCAGACAGGAAAAAAATATTATTATAAGATTTCGACACTTTTTGCTTGATTTCCTAATTAAGTGCGCGGTACAAGATTAATGATACTTCCTGTTATGAACGATTATTTTAAAGCGATGGCTTAATGAGACATAATAATTCTACTTAGTTCATGGCATATTAAATCTAGCATCTATTACTCTTAGGGGCCAACTTATTCATCTTCCTCCACAGTATTGCAATAAATTGCTAGCTGTCACAAAACAGCTTTGCAACAAGATAACGCAATATACGATCAATAAGTCAATTCCTTGAACCACGTATCAAGGAACGATATCTGCACTATCACAAACACTTTTGCTCTACTAGCAGACTACACAAAGACTTAAACGCCTCGTATTTTACGTTAAACACTAAGTTGGACAATTCTCCTTTATTTCACGATATACTGCATTTATATACTATTCCTCAATAGTTCATGAGTCATAGTTAATACAATTAACATTAGAATCATTTACTGAATTAGATATTAATTTTAGCTACTGCTCCCTTAATGCAGACAACAGTATTTACGAACATAGACATGTAATGACTAATACAGAATAGTCAGATTA